GTCGATCATGGTTCATTATTATCAGAAAAGACTTGTTTAACCCTCAGTTCGGTTAAATACTGTTTCAAAATAGAAAATTTAGAAAACTGCAAGGAGTTGTTAAATGGACACCGAAAAGCTCAAGAAATATTAGATCATAAATCTGCTTTTGAAGGTTACGGATGCATACCGCTGAGATTTCTTTAGAAATCAACACAGAAATTAATCCAGTAACCTGCAAGAAGAATACCTGTCAGTCTTCGGAAGGATTTAAAAAATGAACTATCAAAATTAAAAAAAAGAAGGAATCATCATCCAAGAGACTAAAAATGCAGACTGAGTGAGTAATATTTTACTTGTAAAAAAAAGAAATAATTCTTTGAGGTTCTGTATTGATCAGGTTCCATTAAATACAGCACTCAAACACCCTTATTTTCAGTTTACAACTTTGGATGAAATTCGTCCAGAACTCGGAAAAGCACGAGTCTTCTCTACCTTGGACGCTAAAAAAGGTTTTTGGAAAATATAATCAACCGAAGAAAGTTGCAAACTAACAACATTTTGGACACCTTTTGGAAGAAATCGATGGTTAAGACCCTTTGGTGTTTCACCAGGGCCAGAATATATTTCACAAAAATGCAGGAAATCACTCGTGACTTGAAAGGTGTAGAGGTGTTAATTGATGATATCTTTATTTATGGATGTGGTGATAATATGAAAGATGCTCTACAATATCATAATCACAATTTAGAAAATCTGCTTAAACGATTAGAACAGAATTACTAAAATTAACAATGAAAAATTGACCTCTGTAAAACATCAGTGAAGGTTTTTGGCCATATTTTATTCTGCGAAGGACTCAAACCGAATCCATCTAAAACTGAAGTCATAACCAAGATGCGAGCTCCTGAAAATAAATCTAAGCTATTACGTTTTTTAGGCATGGTGACGTATTTGAGCAGATTTATTAAAGATTTATCAATGGGTACAGAAAACCTGAGAAGACTTTCACGAGATGATGTTGAGTGGAATTGGACAAAGAATAAGAATAAAGAATTCAACGGATAAAAACTCTTGTTACTGACATAAATCCACAACAGTACTTTGATGTTAACGACATAGAGCTAGCATCACATTAGAATGTGATGCTAGCTCTATGGGATTGGGAGCAGCTATCTATTAGTATGGCAAAATTGTAGGTTATGCTTATATTAGCAGTTGTTGTCGATTGTATTTGGTTGTACGCACTTCGATCAATATCTTGCAGGAAATGGTTAAGTGGTAATTAAAACGGACAATAAGCCACTTATATCAATTTTTAAAAAAACATCTTCTGAAAGCTCCAAAACGTCTATAACTTATGTTGATGGTTCTACAAAGATATAAATTGGAAGAACAATTTGTTAAGGGAATTATATTATGTAGTGGCTGACACTTTATCCAGAGCAGCAATAGATCACACATTTGATGATGATGAAAGTTTGAAACAGTGTCATATATTTAAGTTGACAAATTAATCAAATATTAATCATATAATAGAAAAAGTGGATGTTTTAAAAACCTTATAGATTACACCCGAAAGAGTAGAAGCAATTAGAAATATTACCAGACCAGATGTAACTATTAAAAAACGAATATATTATATACATAAGGGTTGGTCAAAGCATATATCAGATGTACATGAAGCGTGTAAAATATATTACAAGTATAAAGATGAACTTTCGACACAGGATCAGATTATCTACAGTAATGACGGGATCGTTATTCCCTTTAAATTCAGAAAACATATGACAGAAAGAGTGCATATTGCACATTCTTTTATTGAAGCCACACAAAAGTTAGTGAGAGACACAATGAGTAGCACATCCTACTCACAAATTCAATGTTCACTGTTTTAAAAGATTTATTTATCTTATTCCCTGTTTTTACTTATTAATTTCTGCCACTGTAGAGAATGCACTGAACAAGCAATTTACTCAGGTAATATTCTTCCAATTGTATTTCAGCATTTTTAAGAAAACTAACAATTTGTAACTATTTTCTCGAGACGACGCGGTTCTTAGCTTATAAAATGGTGTAATATACTTTATATATGTAAAAGAACTCGTGTTTACTGACATAGCTAATTGTTTATGTGTGGATCCATGTTTCTACCAGTTGTTTTTAGAACATTTCTGTCATCTTGTCTTTTTGTTCATCTACTTCTCAGTCCGTAATTGCAGCAATAGGTCTGTGTATTAATTCACTTGATAGTCTTCTGCCGCTCGTGTGATAATCTATTTGTGGGTCGGACTGCGTTCCAACTCGTTAATCCGCTTAGTATTTCTTTCTGACCACTTCTCACTTTAACAATTTCTATATCTTTCTGCCTCTTTCGCTTTCTGTCCTTATAAGTTTTTAAAATAAGATTCTTGGATTGTTTTTTACGACAATGTGACAAGAATTCAGGAAATATGATAATTCGAATTCAATTTGAGTTGGAGAAGTTAGCAGACTTTAAATCTTTTGAGGCGGTTGGTGGTGGGTTGATCATATATATCATGGAAAATGTATAAAATGACTTTCATGAGAGCCTGGTGACCAAATTATAGGTGAATCACATTGAGGATGAACACTTATTAAAATATGTTGCACTCTCCTATGAAACACTGGCAAATATGTAGGACTCGCATTGCACTATCATTTTATCCCTTCTAAATATAATATGCTCAGAAAAAACGACAGTTCTTTACAGCTAATAAGAAAAAATCAACAAAAAACTGACTATGGGTAATTGCCTCCTAAATCCAAAATATTTAAGTCGGAAAACTAAGCAATTCACAGTTTGTAGACAGTTTGGGAAATCAGGCGCTCATGCAACCCGAAACACATTACGGTGCCACAAATTATACCATTAAGCGTACCTCGGAAACTAGGGGCATCCTTGAGCCTTCACACGTAATTTTCGTATCCTTATAGAAACACGATTTGAGTTGTTTGTGCAGTAATCTTCAAAATGGGACCTTTTTGGACGTTCTATTGTGGTTTTTGAAGGTTCCCTCATCCCGGGTTGCAAGAACCGCTGAAACGATAGGGTTAAAGTGTAAACGTCTGTTTACTCTTTTTCACTTCAAAAACATGATTTAAAATTGAAGTGATTTGCTTTTGCAATACAATTTTTTAAATGTCCTCTCTTCTAGTTACTTTAACTATTCAGAACTTCTCACTGCATCTACCAGTCACTGCACTATCCGCCGCCGTAACATTCATAAAAAATATTTCGTAATAAAACACTTAAATTACATTCCTGAATTTTCAGTTGAATGGCGGGAACATGTGGTGAACATATGCTGGGAGGATGTGACGGAATATGTGAGAAACTGGAGGGGAATATGAGAGTAACTTGCTGAAAATGCCGGGAACATGTAGGGTAACATGAGAACGTGGAGGGAATATGCGGGGGATCAAGCAGGAAAACATGTTGGTGGAAAGTGGACTAAAAGTTGTTTTTTAAGCAGCATTCTACAAAAGAAAACCTTTCTCGAACCTTCTTTTACATTATGAAGATTTAGTTTTCATGATACCTCACTTCGTAGCAGGTGGAGGAATCGAGTAGAACCTCAAAATCTATGTAAAACTGAATTAATCTCAATATTCGCGTCAAAACCGTTCTAATATATTTTAACGTACAATTCAAAGATTGGCGAAGTACGTATGCAGTATAAAGCTATTTTCAATGTTAAAATACTGACTTCCAAAGTGCTAAATGTTCGACGGACCAGCTAGATTGATTTATTCACTCATTGGAGCTCAGGAACATTTCAACAAGTTAGGTCATGAAGGTCCATAAGGGACCTAATAAGTAGGTGATAGAGGAAGTGATGATGATGATGATGATAAAGTGAATGATGGCGGAGAAAGTGGTAGAATGAGAGGTACGGAAAACGGGAGGATTGCGAGAAGACCTTCAGTGAGCTCAGTTTTTTCTGAACAAATCCCACATGGATTGGTTAGGGTTTCATCCTCAACTTCAACGCTGGAGGGCGAAATCTTCAGCCTTTTCAACGCGACCAGCGCGTCATTACTATGCATTTATTTGAGGTTACTACTCTTGTGCATGGCCGTTTTAACAGCATTGGGGGCCCTTGGACCCAGGTTTATTTAGGAACCCCTATTTTTACTGTCACCAATCGCCCCCCAAGTTCCAAGCTGGAATTTAAGAAACTCCTATCAATTCACATTGTATTCTATATTTTATTTTAAGATTTTACAAGTATTTCTTAGTGTTTTAATTTAAAATTAATTAAAAAATGTATGTATAAGTCAATAAGAGTAACTTATTTACAATTACATTGAAAATTACTACAAATTAAATACTTATAACGTTTTATTGAATTGTACAATATAAAATTAAAACGCATCAATCTGCAACATTCCTTATTATAAATATTATCCAATGATGCGCGACACATCATTCTGTGATGCAATTTTTTTGCGTATGGATTAATTATTCAAAACTGTTTTGTTTTTTAATTTAATTTTTTCAAAAGTATTAAATATTTTTAAGAATTATCGGGGCCTTCTAACATTGGGGGGCTGGGCCTGGGCCTGGACCCTTGGAGCCCGTGAGTTAACACGGCACTGCTCTTGTGACGTTTTGTTTCTCCTCCTTCACTCCTTCGCTTCCTCCTCGCTCTTTTTCCTCTCGCCTTCCATTCCTCTCCTCCTCCCGTTGATATATACAAGTTTACCGAAAGAACTAATTAGACACCTAAATTTTGATCTTTATAAAATAAGTTTTTGAAAGTTTGCTACACAAACGCCCCAGAAAGCACAAATTAAACTACAAAATCCAAAACTAAAATGAAGATACCAATTACAGTAATATTTGGTAGGTTATGGGTGATAAATCTTTCTCCTGCATCTGATCGAACACATACTCACGCAGTTTTTCTTCTTATAGATACGTGTTCTTCCCTAATACAGTATGTGCGCTTTAGTCGGAGCGGGCAATGGCGCGCATCACTCGCACGTGCACTTACTCTCGCAGTGGATGGACAGACTGTCCTCCAGCCGCTTCCGGCACACGTTGCAGAACTTGCGCTTGTGGTGAGTCTGCTCGGACCAGCAATGGGCCACAGGGTTCTGCAACAAATCAGTCACATACCATCAGCTGCGTACTCGGCAATTTATGACAAACAGCATGTATTAAACACAGTAACCAAGAGCGGTTTTATTACAAAACATTTCTCGGATCGTCATTATCTCATCATTCTTCATTGGAGTTTGTTTGTGTGCATTTTTCAATCGGTTTATTTTCAGAGTCTTGGCAATGTACATTTTTGACATGATTTGTAAATAATTAAGCATCATTTTTAATCTAATGCAAAGGTATTTGTCAAAAGTGAAGTCAAAAGTAAAAAATATTTTTTGAAGAAGTGAACATGTTTTATCCCTGCCACAATATGGTGTTTATTTGAGCGTTTGATACTTCCAAAACCAACCTTCAAGAGAGTACCCTCTTGAAAGCAAAGTTCATACCATTGCCACAAATTATGGCCAAATAAAAAACGTTTCGCAATATGAGTGACATATTCTGTAAAATAATATTCCGCCTACATAAATATTTATGAGTTGGAACATTTGGAACAAATGAAAGTTTCCTTACATTTCTTCGTCAATAGGTGTCGACGAAATCCAACTTGAACATTCAAAATTGTAATAAAAAATCTTTCATTTTTCATATGTTTCTTAAGGAAGAGTGAAAAAAGAAATGCCCAGCAAGGCTAGTCGCGAGGATGCTAGTCACAGTTTTACAGTAATGCCCCCTTTTTTTGTTTATCAGTTTGTCGCGTTAATTTTTCTCGATAGTTACATGTAGTTAAATTTGACTTAATTGGTCTACTTTTGATCAGTTTAGCGTTGTGTCCATTGAATGAATGAATATATAGTAGTGATGTTTACGGCACTATATTGGCCAACTGAATTTTTTTAAAATTCTAATATCCTTAGTCGAATGAAGTGAGTTTAATTTATTGATTATCTGTCGACCCTTTCTGGTTTTTGATAAAATTATGCATGTGTATCTTTCAAACACCCCATATTTCGATCAATTAAATAAATTACAAATCATTATGTATTACATTATGTATCACATATCTGATTATAAAATTAATCGATGAATTTGCATTTACAGAATAAAAGTTTGTGATAATATCAGGCAGTAAACGTAAAAATAATTTGAAATGAATTGGCTACTCCTCAGCAGCGAGCTTAAGTAGTAGCCAGTGAAGTTGGCGGAAACAAAATAGACCACTGTCGATATCGATAAGATCTGATTCACCAAGCATATAAAACAATTAAGACACGGTTCTATAGTTTCTTGCAACTGGGAGTGTACCAAGAGGTGAATGTCACTGAATGAAATCTCTTCTTTAATATAATGTATATTTCAATGAGGTTGTATACACTTTTTTCAAATATGAATGGCTTTCCCGTAATTTTGCGTTAAATAACCGTAATATTATAAAAAAGATTTTCTCATAAACAGCTCCAAAGTTGTTCAGTTAACGTTTATGCGATGAGCGGTAAATTTCATAACATTGTTAATAAACATAATATTATAGTGTCTATCACGTTTTATTCACTACTTAGATATGCCAAATATATCAAGGTAAATTTAACGTAAATAGGCGAGACTGTTAATCATTGTATCTCGGATTTTACAACATATAGATAATACTAAATAGTTACATGTAGCACATTCTGTAGCCACGTTTTTTGTTGTTAATTTAAGGTCGCAACAACATCCAGGTTATTAGCGACCACTAATCGATCCTTCAGTTCGAGATCGCTACGACACTACTGCCTTAACGATCTCGGACCTCCGGACGACGGTAGGCATGTTCGTGGACACGAAAATCAAACGCAAATATTACAACGCGAATTTCATGTTTCATGAGTATTTGAAACTTAGAGGCGGTAAATATTAGACGTTGGATACGTATGATATCATTTAAGTTTATTCATGATTTGGGATAAGTCTGATTTAAAAATATATTTTTTATTACATTGCGTCAGATGATTTAATGAAGAAAAATATATACGACCAATGATAACTTGTTTAAACCACCATTATATCATTATTCATCATTATATTATTAAACCACCACATCAGTATAGGCATTAAGTCAGAATAAGTGACTGTCTGCACATGAGTAAGACCAATAGTAAAATTGATTACGGCAAATTAAAAAATAAGTGAAAACGGAAGTGACATGTTTTGACTTTCTCGTATACATACGTATATACGTAGTATAGATAAATTTATGTAATGTTGCGACAGCAAACCGACAGCAAACCTTGTAAGACCCTGAGGCTGAACAGTCGGATAAATCCTATTTCTTTATGTAGTAAATTACTATCTCTAACACGACATGAAATCATATTTCACGAATTGTGAATCCTTGATACCAAAAATGTGTTGTTTTTTTCAAGCGGTCAGTCCGTCTGTCTGTCCGTGTAAAACACTAGCGTCTAAACTAATTATTCCAAAGTTATTTTTCCAAACTGAATACCAGTATTTCTCACTATACAGCTCCAATTTTTTTTCTTCAAACTTATTGAAGGAATACTCCTAAATGTACTGTATGAGATACCATAAATGCTATATTATGTATTCTTTTGGTTTTCAAAAATTACAGAAATTAATTTTTTTATTAAATATCTGTCGCATTGTTAAAATTTACATTATAGATGTATTTCATTGTTTAATGCGATTGTTAACATAGATAAAGTATCTTAAGAAGACCCTAGATGTGCCATCAGCGCCACTGTTTCACTCCCAAATTGAAGAGCTCCGTCGCCGCCATTAGGATGGCAAAAGAGATCAGCTGCTAACTGCGAATTAAAGTGAGTGTGGTTTCTTAAGCTGTTTTGGGACACGTATGCGATGTAAGGTTCATTTTCATTCATTCTGAGGAATTTAGAAAAGGTAAATTCTGTTGTACGTTGATGAATTACAGCATGACCATTTGTTATGAATAAATAACGTCGTCAAATTTGAATGCCAGTGTGTTACCTCACAAACATCGTATGAGCCTTATCACAGTAATTTATATATATATATATATATATATATATATATATATATATATATATATATATATATTACAGTTATAATGGTAGTTTCTTGGTGTGCGTATTATTGCACAAATAGAGCTGGTAAAATAGATGTAAATGGGAGTAGAAATACGTTTCACAGGTATGTTCATGAGATTAGTAAATGTTGTGATCGTCATAAACGATTAATTTCCAAAATTTGAAGGGAGAGAGTGAGAAGGGAGAATTTCCAAAATGTGGTATATGATATTACATTAATCAGCTTTTTATTTTCTCCATATTTTAAAGTGTTAATAGGAAGTCTGAGGTTGATTTTGAATACCTCCTCTATTATTATAAAATCGGGACTAAATTTTGTTTATTCTGCTCTAGATTCAAAACTACCGATGCGATTACCATTTTTCACAACTGTACAAATCATGCTCTTGTTCTTTGTTTGTAATGAAAGCAATTCTTTGTAAATTACATGTAATTTTTGTAAATTAATCCACACTTCCAAATAACGAGAAATAAAAGAATATATCAAAAAGCCCTAGTATTAATAAATGAAAAAAATATGTAAATGCAATGCAGAAGTGTTTCTAATAGAGTACTTGATGGTAGAACTAGTTATTGTGAGGTGTGAGGGAATGATTTGACAACATGAGATCAGGAATGATTTATATATATATATATATATATATACATTTAATGTTTTTTAACATAAATTGATATTTGTAGAAGTGCAAACTGAATAGAACGAATAATTCTATAGAAGTGGTGCAAGAGAGAGAAAATAAAAATATTAAATTAGATTAAGATGTCAATAGGACAAATCAAAGAAAAATGAAACTCGAAACTGACAGGTTGTGTCAGAATAGGATAATGGAACGAAATTTTGGGAGTTCTTGATATGTACTCCAGGAATATATATTGTTACATTAATACAGTATTCTTTAAAACTTCTTTTCCGAAATATTTTCGAGAAAATGCTTCCCGTAGAGAAAATATTAGAAGCACAAACTCTAAGAATGTATCTCAAATTTTCTCCATAGATGAAGAGCAAAATTTGAATTTCCCATGCGAACTTGCCATCCTAATGGCGAATTTCTCGGGGTTCAATTTTTGACTACGTTTCGCTGCCGGCCGCTATGGGGTGGTGGGGCCCTGATTGTTAACACAGAAGCTTCAAAGTATCTCTAATGATGGTTTTTAAAAAATCTATACGTTTTTCAGTATATGAGATCTAAAAATGGCAAATTTTCGGAAACAGTCTAGCACTTTTCTCAAAAATCTATGAAAAACTGGTTGCTTAAATTTTCCACAATGGAAAAATGTTCAATTCTCTCGGATATTCCGAAAGGCTGATTTCGACCAAGCTATTTTTAACCCCATATATTATTTTTAAATTCTGAAAAACGTATTTTTACCCACACATAAAAAATTATATTGCAGAAAAGAGAAAAGTAAACCATCGCGTTAATTTAAAACTTCTCTAAATGTTTTGTTTTACTTTGTCAATTTTTTTAAAAATCATCCTAAATTGGAAATGTTTTATTTTTGCTCGCTTGGGATTTGGCAAGTGTGTTGCGATGAATTTGGTTACCATGACAAGAACAATGTGGTTGTTTTTAGCAGAGTGAATAAATATCATAGTCATTTAAGTTTTGTAGATTATTTTATTTAATAAAGTGGTTCATCAGGGATAATACAGAAGTATAATACAGAGTGGTATTAGTATGGTGTCTACTTAGCAGAGATTGTATTTCAAGTATATTAGTTGAAATTGTTTTATTAGTGAAATGTTTTTTTGTAATGTTTTGGGTTTTAAACGAAATTTCAATGCATCTCATACCTACGTCAGCATTTTAAATTGCTTAAAGATAATCCTGTAAAGGGTAAGTGGTTGAGAAATGTAAGAAAACAAAGACAACGGCTCACGGTCAATAATGAAGCCATATTTTGCGTTCATCATCTTAAATCGTTGGTAGATAAAAAATCGTGGTTAGTTGGTTTCCTTGTTTCAAACGGTCGATGAATGTATC